TTAGTGAGGTGCTGAGTCACCAGAGCAGCGTTAGTGCTCCTCAGCATTGTTTCTCCAAGTCTTTGGTACCAAACTGGAGATGAAGATATTTATTTTGTACATAAATGATAGTAATAGAGAACACGTTGGTTCAAAATCCTCACCCCTCCCATGTATCTAGAAACGTGGACGGATGCTTTGTCTTCCTGAAACACTCAGATCAACAAATGCATCCAAGCCAGCAGGCCGTGCGTTTCAGGGTTAATAAAGATGAAAAACTGTGAATATCAAACTTTGAGATCCTGACTGAGCCCCGTCCAAATCAAAGCCAACGATTCTGTCAGATGAGAGAGGACGACCGGCTCTGCGGCTCGACACATGTATAAAGTATGACTCAGCAGAAGCACTTGTTGCTTATTAACTACATGGCACTGGTTCTAAAGACTTCGCGATCGAACTGGAAGCATGTTTTTGGGATTATCTGCTCTGCTGGGCTGTAAAACATGATCAGTGAGGACGTTATGAAGAAACATCTGCCCTCATAACAACACTGTAACCTGTGTGATGTGCAGCCAAATTGTCTTTCACTCCAGATTTAGTTTTAATGCTGCAGAGCACAGCTGCACCACCGAGAGCTGATTTTATATTCCTCTTTTATTAGCATTAGCATTTTTTTGTTTAGTATTCTGAGACTGGAGCTGCTAAAACTGCCGGCTTCAAGACAGAATATGAATAAATAAACTGATGTTAATACTTGAGGTTGAGCTTCTCAGAGATGACGATGAAGCATTTCTTATTTGAGTGTTGGTACCAACTGTTGCGGCTCCTCCAACCTATGGCCGCGGCAGGCTAAACATGAGGACACAGATGACGCGCAACAATAAACACATAAATACACTTCTGTACCATTTGCTCCTTTTATTCCACAAGCAACTGTCCAATATACAAATCAGTGCCTGGGATTAACTATTAGACAAATGCACAGACTGCACAAACAAATAACTGCACTAACTACTATGCCAAATTACAACTTGGCCTATGGCATCAATTAGTGCACAAATATACAAAAACCATCAAGTTCACAGGTGCTGTGAACAGGTGAGTGCAACCACATTTATCATCTACCTCACCCATGAGACACGCCCCACACCCGTGCACCAATACAGTGGCTGTGTCCCAATTCAGGGTCTGCAGCCTCAACGATCCTCAAGGGCCGCGTACTTAAAGACCGCTAAGGC